ATATCTCTTTTAAATATCTTGTCACATTTCCGTGGCAACAGGTTAGATGTAAAATTACCGGTGTTCCCGAAGCAACGAGTCCTTCATCTAGGTAAATTACTTTCTTCTGAATGATCTTCATTCTCGAATGAGGTATTTGCTCAGCGTATTTGTTGTCGCTGAACTTCTGTAAGTCTTCAAATGTAGCGTTTTTATATGTGAAACAGACATTAAATACTATCCTGCGGGTGAGTACCACCAGCTCTCTCTATGACATCGTTCAACCGCCCGGAAAATGAAAGCCCCTGGCTTGGGCTACGGGTTGCGCGCTTCTTTTCATTGCTGTCTCAAAATTATTTTGAGATACATTCAGCTAAACTCCACTACGTTTAAGGATGTAGGATTCCAATGAAAATTGTTTACGTACATTCACAGTCGGCGGAGTAGGCAACTCACCCTTGTCACCTAGCTCCTTCCAGTATGGACTGCTGATGCGGCCTACTGTGTCAGTTACGGGAACAGAACAAGCTGCTCTGCAGCCTATTAGCTAACGTATCATACTTTTCACCCTATCATAAAAGTGTAAGACACCTAGAGTTGGGTTCCATATCCAGTTCGCTTATTGGCACTAGTGGAAGATGACCAACTACCATTATCCTACGACAACCAGCATCCACGTATGTGCACTGACTGAGAGGTCACGCATAATGGGTCGTTCGGTTTCTGCCGCTCGTAAGAATCGGTGGGAGCTCTGGCGTCATCACTAGATGGGGAAATCATGTCCGCCATTTAGAAGGCGCTGTCGCTGTCCTTCCGACAACCAAAAGGCAGTAGTGAGATTTGATCCAGTTCACGCACGTGGGTGACTGTGGCTGAAAACTTGTTAAAAGTCTACGGCCGAAAAAAGACTTATTCTAACCCTACTTGTAAAATTTTCAGGGAATTATATGCCTTGCGCAAGCACAGTTTTCTGGGGACGACTAACCGTCTATTATGCGAAAGATTGAGCACCATGGCAAAATAATAGAGATGGTAATTATTATACTGTCTAACGATCGAGTTTCACCAGGAGATAACTAGTCTCTTGCTCACAGAACATCCGTAGAATGCCGGATCAAGTTGGAAATCAGACAGACCGTCCTAAAAGGCACATCAACTTGGTTTTGAGGAAACTGAAGAAATACGAGATGGACGTTGCAGTTTCTGTAAAACATGGCTTACTAGTCAAGGAAGTCTTTAGGAGGCTGGTTTCAGATACACATTATGATTGATCTGTTAGCCGGTAAGGGGAGAGGAATCGTAAGGTCTTTTTGTCCCGTCCGACCACACCGAGAAAATGTTCGAAACAGAACAATCAATCCAGGTCTTACTTCAATTCGCTTGAAATTACCACGTCGAAAATACTCGACAGCACGTACGACTCTACTCCGTGCTCGGCAGATGACCACACAAAAATCACTGCGTTGAAGTTTGCACACTTCTCCGATCACTTACGAAATCCTACAAAATTGTCTTGTAAAGCTTCAGAAAGCTCCTCGGGTGAGATCATTCCATATGGCCAGGCACTATTGGATTAGGGAAAGTAAACACCAAAAGCGACCGACTTCTCTGAAGTTGCACATGCGTTTTCTATCAACAAAGCGGTGTTTAGCCGCATGAACGCACCTACACAGCGACCACTCTCATTCGCCAGCGAGACATTAGAGATGCGTATCCCACATGTAGTGCGAGGACGCAGCGTGGAATATACGATCATGTTATTCGAGTTAATTTTAATATCCAGCGCCTTAAGTCACTCCACAATAACTGCACTAGCGAATTAAGAGTGACGTAAGCAGTCTTAAATATCCGCAAATCAGGATCAACTGAACTATGCACTAGAAGCCTAAAACCAATCCAGGACGCTGACGAAAGAGGGCACAAGTTGAAACACCAGATAATGAAGGCGGTCAAAAAGATCAGCTAATTGGACTGAGACAACTTCACTGGCTTGGTGAGAGCAACCAACTTGTGGAACATCCGCTAAATACACAGAACTAAGCGCTTGGAGGACCGCTGTCCTGTTAGGATGTCGAGATAAGTAAACAATAACTAACCAGTACTGGAAATGACCTGATTCGACAACTCAACCCAACCAAGAAAGAATGGTAGGGGAGGTGAATTAAACAGCTCAAAGAATTCGTTGTTCGCATGCAGCAGAATTGTACGGTTCTTTGGAAGTTCTCTGCTGGCCGGCGATACAAAATACCCAAAAGCTGTAGGATATTTGTGTTTAAGTGGGCAAGTGAGCCAAAGGCGTGTCCGCTGACAAGCACAAGGAATAGAGGCTTCCATCACGTTCACTCCCCGATGGTGGCTGGAATCTGCTTTCCGAACGGACTAAAACAGGATTTCGTAGCGACACTTGTAGAACATCAAGAGACGGAGCTCTGACATACACAAGCTCCCAAATCTGGATCGTTCCTTCGAAAGTCTAAACGCCGTTGACTTGACGTGGGAAGCAAAAACACAAAACGGGACGGTATGGGGGAAAGCTATACGAACCGGAGTTTGTCAACTAGGTGATCACCAGGAGCCAGAAGGCTGAATCGTGCAAGACAAGAGATTATTATCGGAGCCGACTTCGCAGACCGCACAAGCTTTAGCTGCAATCATTCCGATCATGTTTATGCTGGTTGCTTTGTCTTGGCCGACTACCAAGTTACACGGTTGACCATCGACAGATCATTGGTGAGTAAAGTAGGTTTCTGGGTCTCCCGAAGAGCTAAGTCTAAAGTCTTTCCGGAACCGATCGTCACCACGGAAGTACCCTGGCGCACTGAACGATCCGATGTGCCATGTCCGCAATCGTGCTAGAAGTTACTGTCAACGATCATTATGTGTGAACTGAATCAAGTCGACTCGTGGCTAACTGCAGGGTTTCACGCTGTTCTCTGCGTTTAGCATTTTATTATCACAGCTTCCAGTTTATTGGGACTGTGCACCGTTGGGTTCAACTGCAGGGCTCTTCCCATCTGTGTTAGCAAAACTCCAAGTTAATGCCTCAGATATTACGCAGCTCCAAGTTCACGTTGTTTTCAGAAGTGACTCTATGAAAATCATATTTTGGATCCAGCAGAATGTTGTTCCATATTAGCCAGCCCTGTGCGTGTGCCTATAGTGAATCTCATATGAAGAACGAGTCATTGAACCCGTGCGGTGAGTACTAAATCATTCATCCGTACCCACAGCTCTGAAGTTAATGGGTCGTGGGAGATTTCCCACAGAGAGCCTATGGGTTGATTGTTAGGCTGAATATTATATTTTTATTGCTACAGTCCGTAAGCTCTGTGTTGCACTGCTCCGTTTCTATTTTAAGTTGCGATTTAATGCATCTATATGCGTTATATTTATTTGGATGTAGTGTATCCGTCTGCAGAAGATCCGCAGTAATTTTCGAGACTGTTAATCCAATGACGGTGCTAGAGTTGACTTTCTGTGATAATCGTTGAATTGACCGAGCTGAATGACGGCTAGCACAAGTAATTCAGGCTTATCTAGCATGGGGCGTCTGAGCGGTGCGGGCCACCAGTATATGCCCAGTGTGACCTAATTGTTCAGTTGTATCCACATGAATTGATACATGCTTGCCACTACGCTGGCATGCTGACGGCTTTAGAAATGTCCTCTCCTGTCCATTCTCAGGTCTTATTCTATCACGTGTACACCGGACACGGGAATTTCAAATGGATTTGCATGCAGCTCAGTGTAAACCGCATGTGGCATTGGTCACCGGGCGTGGATGTCCATCAGCGTAGTCCAATACTTCAAACCAATCCACAGACAGACACCGGTTCACTATAACAAAGTTCAACTTTACTATTTCGTTTTGACAATTTTTCAGGTCTAACAACTACTCAGTCACGTAGGCGGATATCAGGTGAACTGACTTATGACTGGTTATCTGGTGTGCTAACCAAGAGGTGTCCGCTTGAAAATGTCCCTTTGACACCAGTAAGCGGGGTCTTTTGCGAGTGAAGTAGCTGGGTGAGTAGCTGCTTAAATATGAGCATGTGTTTAAGATTTTTTAAAAACTTATTCGGAACCTGGGTCCTTATGGGTCCTGAACATCGGATCATCGAATGACGCCACGCTTGTCTGATAAGTCGGATCCAGGATGGACAGTTTCATGAGAGAGTCACTTCTGGATGATTAGTACCCCTGATAAATCTCCAAGCTCGGTAACCATGATTTTTCATCAGGAATTTGAAAAGTGCCAGTAATTCTGATCAGTGACTAGCAATCAAGCTGTTAATGAATTTCAGCGAACCGGCTACCCGTAACAAAACCCATTTGAAGTCGTTTGGTTGCACTATGTGGGGGATTGCTTGCAGGTGACCAGTAGGAGCCTCGTGATGAAACAAATGTGCAGGGACCTTGGTTAATCGATTGACCTTCTGAAAAGCAAATAAAATCTCTAAGAACCAGTTACAATTTTATGAATTTTACCGACTGGATTCCATTAATTATTATTATTCGGTGCTATTTAAGGGAACGGGAATTTTACTGGCTATAATGCCTCATCTGCGGAACGAGTCACCTATCTGCCACGCAGCTGGTATTTTTCCGTTCGAGAACTGCGTCGTACACGAGGCAGAAAGTAGAGCCTCGTAATGTGCGTGTAGAGTTCAGTTACCTGGACTTAATTTGGTCCCCGGTACGCCTTAATAACACGTTTGGTCGGGGAAGCGTGTCAATGTTTCCAGCCTACATCTCCGGCCAGGACCGGATTGGTCCAATCCTACTGCTCTCCTAATTGGTCACCGGTGTTTGGCCAATCATAGAAACATGACAGATATTCTTACACACGTTAACCTCGGTTGTCCTCAGTCGTCCTGTAAGGGATGGATATCACCGAGTTTTTGCGGGCTAATGTGTATCTAAGCACTGGCTGAGTCTGGGTCAACAAAGAGTGGGGGACACATTCATGTCACTTCGGTGACAGGAAATGTTGTTTAGCCCAGATCACATTGATCTAAACCATGCTTCCTTGGATAATATTTTCCAGTATTTATTGCATATATTCACTCTGCTTCCTATGTGTGACGCCCACATCCGTTTCACCAAGTGCGTGTAATTGTTACCTCACAGAAGACAATCCAGAGAACGCCACAACAGCGGTACATATTTTAAAGTGCGAGCGTGGATCATCCAGTCAAATTCCATGTCAGAGGATCAACGATCTTATCCGTATTGGACCTGTAGAGGATGGGATTTCTGTGGCTTCCATTCACGGTGGATTATCAGTTGCCAATAAATACACAATTAAAATTGCCCCATGGGCATTTGCTGATCTAGTGGAAGATGGAACAGTACATCACCTACAACTAGATCTACATCTGCCGGAACACAAAGTGGATGCATTGAGTTTAGCTGGCTTGAAAAACCTGTACAGCTTGATGGCTCGAACAAGTTTGGTCCGATGGGATAAATGCAGTTTCATGAGTGCGCCTACTTTGACGAAAATCCTGATGAGTTGCAAGTCAACATTTGAAGAGTTTATCACCTTCGGTTCTGAAGTCCGCGACGTTCGATTCCTGGACTGTGAAGATGTGCCGTTGCAATTTTATTGTATAAGCTGTTTGCAGGACCCGAGTACGAAGGTCATCCGAATCCTACCTGGACCACCTTTGCGACAGTATATGGTCAAGTTTTCACAGTTCGGTACCCGGAATGATACAAAAGCAGTTTCATCGATGGATAATGTGAACCCACTATCAATCGGAAAGTGCATTCAAAACGTGTGTTCGGATGAAATGCTTTGCCGTGATAATATGCCTCTGAAACTAGCTAACGCTAATATTGGTAGGCCAGCCACCGTAGTGTTTCCCACATCGGACTCTATATTCGACAGACAAGTTACCGAATCCGAAGCTCCAGTTCAGACTAATGCTTCCCCGGCCATTCAGTCAACAGTACGAAAAGACGGCACTGCAAGCAAGGCGTCACCAAAACCAAGTCTTTCTTTTTGGAAAAATCATTTAAACGAACGAAATCGTATATGGATTACAATTTCGATTGTTGCTGTGATTATTTTGATTTTGTTCACCATGTGTGTTTTAATCTCAATGACTAGACAACGAAATCGTAAACACAGAGTCAAATTCACACCGGCTCAAGCATGTCCTTCACATTCAAACTGTAACGGCACAGTCAGTCCTACACAAGTGCTCATGCTTACTAAGGAGACTAAATCGGAGCAAACTGAACAGCCAGCCTGACACCGGAAGTCTGATAACGGTTACTTCCACTTTCCGTAAGTCCCTGCTCATAGTTAACTGTTCGTAATTTCTTCTGGCTCACTGGGTACGCTGTCAAAACTGCAACATTGTACGAGATAACAACCATTCATCATGTCACGACCAAGTTTGCCCGAATACTGCTTCAAACGCCAAGTTTGTCTGCCCAATTTAGATGTTCCAATTTGTGCTTCCATTTGTCATTTTCTGAACAATCGGGAATATTTATCTTGCATTTGAAATCAAGAACCGGTCCTCATATATATGTACATTTACAACTAGCTTCCTATTAGGAGGCGTGCATCTAATTCGCAACCAGAACTATCCCTGCTTTTAAGCTTGCCTATTATGCACTTCCTGTACAGATCTTCAAATCTTACTGACATAAATTGGTTCAGAGTTCGAAAAATCCACATTTTTTCTCCTATTTCTGAGTGAGACAATTCCAGACGTCCTTAGTTTTGTCATGTTAACCTACCTGAGTTTTGCAACCAACCAAGTTCGTGTGCAGTGTATCTTGGCGGTGGAAATTTAACATCGAGCTTTGTCGGTCGTTCAGAATGAAGACATCCCAAGTCGTGGTTTAGAATCGTCAAATCTCGGCAGCTGATTTTACCAGTTATCAGATTTGTTTGGTACCATTACATCTGCCCGTGTTTCTGTAAATCGACTCCTCTCATTAGGCCCTGACTCCACTGCTATTGAAAAAGCGCAGTGGTAACGCCTTTTTCACGTTTTTCTTTGGCTCGGACGCTGGTTTGGTCGTGTTAGATGGTCAGTCGGTAGCTAACAGCACGAAGACCATCAACAGTATGCTTAAATTCCATCTGAATACAAACGTCGAGGTGACTGCCTTTACTTGTTCTGTTCTCTTGTTAATAAAGGTCATCTTGGGATTGAACTTTAATGGTTAACTGCGAATGTCTCTTTCACTAGTCTCAGTGAGGGCAACGACGCTGCGTCTAACTATCCCAATGCAACAAAAAGGGGCTGTTGATTTTCCGCCACGTGCCTAAAGTTATTTGATTTGGCTGGTCAGTCCAAGTCCTGATGCGGACGGACTATTCTACAATCTGCACAGCTTTTGACATACAGTTTTATTTCAGGAATGATCTTGTGGTCCGAGGGCCAAGATATTTGTGTATACGACAGGGGCATTTCACAGCCCTAACTTATATTGCAGGTAAGAAAGCCGTAGTCGTCTGCGTACAACTAGCAGATGTTTCGTTTCGCCATGTCAGCTAGTAACTCTTCTTCATTCTCAACAATAATTTTACGGTGAACAAAGATGCCACAAGACGAATGGATTTTGTGTTAACATTGTTCCTCTATAGGGAAAGGAATCAACCGTAGGTAAACTGTGAGTCATGGGCATTTGCCGAAACTGTTTTGACTACTTGTTTATGTGATGTGGCTATGGTGATTGGCTTGGAGTAGAGGTCAGACACAGGCTCTTCAACTTTGTCCAAATGATGGGTACCATGTATTCAATCCCCAGGCGTTTGATATGCCTATTGTCTGAGGTTGTTGCTAACGTCTCTCGATTTATACTTGTCTCACAGGAAGTCAGGCCGATTTCCAGTGCCTGACTACATTAGATAAACAATTCGACCGAGTGACGCAGAAAATGTGAACCTGTATTTCGGACATCTTTAGTAGTTTTATCAATGTGATCCATAGCTTTTGTGACGTCTTCTTGTCCGGGCAGAAGAGCTGATCGCGTCTCGCATAAGCAGCCTCTCATTTCAGAGTTACTTTCGGTGCTGACTCAAATCCATTTTTTGGTCTTATTCAATGGTCATCTCCTTTTTTTAACTATCTTTGAACTTTGAACGCAAATAGCCCCGCCGTCCACCTCACAAATATTTCGAAGAATGCTTGCCGAAACCATAATATCCGTCCGATCTCACACTGGTTAGAAAAGGCTCTCATTCTTTCCTCCTGTAATATTTCGAAGAATGCTTGCCGAAACCATAATGTCCGTCCGATCTCACACTGGTTCGAAAAGGCTCTCATTCTCTTCCTCCTGTGGGACCTTATAGATGCGTGACTACTTACAACGTGGATAGCCATAAAAGACTCACTCACTGAAGAGATGCAAAGCCAAAAATATTACGCACAATACGGCTACCCTAACATGATAAGCGGAGCGAAAGCAGAAGGAAAAATGAAGACACTACTTCAACACTTTCATAAGCGTGTTCAGCATATGCAACACAGTCGTTTGGTGGCCCCAAACACCAAGGCTGGTCCTCTATCCAGAAACCTAGAGCTCAACAATTGCCCGTAGTCTGTCCACTGGTTTCAGTAATCTTGAACAGGTCCTACTTCTGAACAACACTCTTCGATCCTGTAAGGATGTAAACGTTGTTTCCGTCTAAGCGTTCACGCGATTTCAACGGTGGTGTCAGTTATTTAGCCACGACTTTGCATTGAGTCTTGATGCTTTTCCCGGTAGGAGCTCAAGAAGATAGGCAAAAAAGAATACACCCTATATTTCTTTGAACCCCTACTGCTCGCTTAGTACTCACAATAATGTTCATTGCGAGCAGGCTGTTTACCATCCATTCTTCCAAAATCCAATTACAGATTTGCTAAATGATGGGCCCAGATGCATTCTTCCTGGTGTTCTATTTCTTTCTGTAATCAGAATCTTTCACGTCTTACTGATGAGGTAATTGCAGTTAGCTTTTGGTAATGTCTTGCACTTGGTTTCTACTCATACCAGAGCTATCACGTATGTAACCCGTTATTTCTCTGTTGCTTCCTGGCGCCACTAGTTTTAGCCTTTCAGTAGAAAGAGGAGGTTAACTGTGATCCGTGAATATCTCTGGGTATGCGTGAAGCTGACGAATGACCTCAGTATATTCGAATTCAGGTAGACATGTCACTATCCTCCTCGACATTTCGAATGTAGTGGGATGAGGTTGCAGGTTTATGATAGTGGAAAGCTCGAGTGCATTTGATAGGCACACCCAATCTTTGTTGACTATTACGGACGGACGCCTCGGCGTGGAGCAGAAATGGAGTTGGGACTATCTACCAACCGGAACTTCAACGTCGACCTGCGCTGTAAGCCATCGCATGCTGTTAATTTTAGTCTCGTATGTCCCATTTCCAGCTCGACTTTGCATTTCTATGAGGTCATATACCAGTTAAATAATTGGATTTGGTCCGTAGAGGAATCATACTCCTAAAACTTGAAGCTTTCTCAGAAAGAGCCAGTTAATTGTTCAGTTAGCTGAAACGTTGTTTTTAAGACGCATTTTCTGGCAGATCACGGTGGGCAACCAAATCCATCGCAGAGTCCGTCGTCCACCCTGATTTCGTGACCATTCGTGCATAGACCTTGGTAACTTGGAGCCATTCATATCTCGAGTTTCCTCCGGGTTTCACAGCAGCTTTGCATCGAAAGCGCACTACAGCTGAACGATTTATTCTTGCAACGATCGTCAGTCAAACGAGAGCGAATTAGTGGAATTCCATTCAGCTCGATAAGGAGGCAAACTAATCCGAGGCCTCCGTGTAATATCAAACAACAGCTCTGAATACTGATGCTATCGTATTATATAGACAGGGAACATCATCTGAAATGTTCCACAGAACGTCGTTAAGGGTAATGCTTGCAAATGATTCGTAACAAGGTATCTCTGCAGTTACTTGTGTGGTTTATTTTTCTTGTCGATGTGTTGGACCTTTTCTCGTCACTCTTTTCCATGTCAAAATTTTGCCTCGAATGAGTCTACTAAGATAGCTGAATTTGAAACTCGGTGTCACTTATCGACTGCATAAATATCTGACTATTACGTCATCATACCACCATTTTGTACGATTGTGTTGTTCTTTACGGTAAATTAATTTGTCTAATCCTACCAATAAACCTCACGAGCTTCCGACAAAAATATCCTGGGAATTTTAGAATTTTAGTTTTAAAGTCACAATCAGTTCCCAAGAAGCACAAATCTCCATATTTTCCATCAGACTTGAAGCTCACCAAATCAGTAACAATGATGTGACCTTCGTTTTGCATTTGTAAGTCGTAAGATTTTTCCGGTTTTCGGTGTGTGTGTTCATACTTTGCTCGCAGTTGCTCATATTCGTGTACACCCCAAATTTCTCTCGGTTAAAAATCGCACAACCTGATCGAAATGTATTGACTTTCATGTAGTACTACTTAGTTATCGTGCCGTTTTTTTCTTAGTAGCATGCAGGACAACTATAGAATAACTGAGTTAGTATAATGCTCAAAGACGTACATTTAGATCAAAACGGATGAGATTACATTATGCTCTTTGATTAAATCATTCAAGGTTTATCGTCGGATGAGATTACATTATGCTCTTTGATTAGGTCATTCAAGTTTTATCGCCAACATGTTTTGTGAATTCTAGCGGTACCCGAAACGAGAGCACATAGGTGATCTGAGGATACTGATGCATTCCACCTTATTCGAAATTACTGCTCTCAGCTAGCAGAAAGACTAACTTTCTTTTGCTTACTATACTGTTTTGTCTCTACTAGACATCGTCATCTACGCACATCACATAAATCTTTAGGGGATTCAAACCGGCAAAATTCCTCTTAGCAGTCAAACGCGCCATTACGAGTGTATAACCAAAGTTGTGAGCAAAACTGACGTAGAAGTTAGATAGTGCCACAATTCGTCAAAATGTCTGTTCGCCTTACCTGATGCGTTGTGGGGAGTTCTTATCTGAAAGGCTCACGAACCTTGTAGGATTTCTCCCTTCTAGAGGGATTATTTATAGTTTGTAGGTAATAGTGATGAAATTTTGAAACCTCTACAGAAATCTGTATAATGCGCACTGCTGCCGTTTCTTGACGAAAATGAAACAACTGAAGGGGAACTCCCGATCCTTTGGTTTTCCTTACAGGACAAAATCTCAACGGAAGTTGGATTATCCACTGAACTAACTGCATTCGCATTTAAATGGTACGGACAAGAGTGACAGCAGAAAAGCTTT